TACATTTTTAAGAAAAATCTTCTCATCCACCACCAGTGTGCAGCATCCACCTGGATGACGCAACGGCAGCCATATTGCACCAGACCGCACACCAGTTGATTGGTGGTGAGGAGACAGAGTGATAAAACCAATTATGATATGGGGATGGTTAAGGTTTGGCCAGGATGCCAGGGTTAAACCCCTATTCTTTTTCGAAGGACATCCTGGGATTTTTAACAACCACAGAGTCAGGACCTCAGTTTAACGTCTCATTCCATCCCATCAATATACTGGAGTGTTAGGACCCACACAGACCACAGGTTGAGCACCCGCTGCTGCTCTCACTAACACCACTTCCCTTGACAACCTAGCTTCCCCATGTGGTCTCCCATCCAGGAACTGACCACACACAGCCCTGCTTAGCCTCAGAGGGCAACCATGTGAGAATTGCAGAGAGAGCTAACTGCCGATAAACAGCACAGACTACAATGGAAATGTGTCGGGACCTTAAAAAGTGACAACCCATCTGCTTCCTGTTAAGAGTTCCATAATAATTGTTAAATTAATCACTGATTCTTAACAGGAAGCAGATGGTTCGTCACTTTTAGGGTCCCCGACACATTTCCATTGTAGTCTGTGCTTTTTGCAGCATGTTACTACATTATATTTGCATGTGTTGTGAGAATTTGCTTTTGAATGTCAAAATGATGAAGATGTTTTCTGCATTTGTTTTCTTAACTCGCATTTAGTTTGAACTTTCTAGGCCACTGTAGTCAACTGGATCAAGTGTGTTAAATAAAGCCAAGGGATCAAATAAAGCTGCAAAGAGTTCTCAAAAGACAAATAGTGGAGACTTTCAGTCATGTGAAAGGTGCAGATTTTAACTTATTTTAAGCGGTTTAATATTTGACTTTGGACAGTAAAGCTTAGGCTTCAGAATTATTAAAAGTAGCATTCAAGTGTACAAGTTATCACAAGAATGAAGCAAATAATGTTACTGATACATTTGTATGTATTTTTTCAAAGATCTTTTCTATTATGCAATTGTTTGGGATATCACTTATGGCCCGCTTCCACTAAAGGGTACTTTATGGGTCTGTATGCTTTTATGTCCGTTTCCCCTGTCAAAAGTTACCAAAAAATAAACCATACCATACCACTTTTTGGGTACCCTTCCCAAAGGGTACCTAGCACAACAAAGGGTATCAAAAGAGCTAGACAAATGTAATGAATGGAAATACACAGGTCTGTGCTTATAGACATATAATGTACTGCTGTACAGTAACAGGTCATTTGTTTGTTTCAGTTGTCTTCATTTTAATGGTTTCGTTTCGTGATGATTCTATGGTGTGCTTTATCTGCCTTATTTCCGCTAAAATGGGCAGGTTGTGTGATGTTTGATTCGGGGACGTTCTGTGGGCGGTGTTTGCATGACGCGCTGTGAGCTACTAGCCCGACAGTGGAAACGCGACACGATTTCGGCCTCATTTCTCAACCTCCCGGGCTATTGGCCCGGCCCGGCGTGATTAAAGCCCTGGCTCGCACTGGCCGGATAATGGAAATGCGGCTAATGATTGTGAGTGTGGGGGGCTGGGGGGCAGTGGAGAGGTTGGGGGTGGTGTCATGGATGAAAGTGTAGAGCAGGGTGGGGGAGAGGAGGGGCTCGGGGGTTTTGGGGGATCTTCATGCCGCCCCTAGCAAGATGCTGCCCTGGGCAATTACCCACATTGCCCTTTCCTAAATCCACCACTGCTCATGATAATAATGTGCATGTGATTATTGAAGTGGTCCTGACATCTGATCCTGTTAGAAATGAACAAATGCAAGAGTGACCCGCGAAAAAACAAAGGAGAAATTATTCATTCTTTCAGCAGCCTAAAACATGAACAAACTGTTCGTTAATTTCTATCATCACTTTTTGGACTATTGTGAACTCGGAATGACGAAATGACTCTCTCACAATATGTTAACGTTACATGTGCTAGTGAAGATTAAAGATGAGAGGTTTGTGCTGGCAGCATGTTTTTCTTATCATTTATGGACCTAAATAAGGCCTAAATGTATATTTTGGGTATTTTTTATTTGTACTTATTTGTAACATTTAGTGACTGTAAATCTCTATATGTTCATAAATGTTTTATTTATTTATTTTTTATAAATAATCGCAGATGTTACAGTAGGCTTTTTTTGCATAATCACTGATCTGTAGCTATTCAATGAAATGATATGTGAACTAGCGAGAGGGCAACTTTCTGTCATACACCATGCATACTAAAAGGGTACCATTGGTACCCTTTGGCAGTGGAAACAAGTCTGATACCGAACCATACCTTATCTCACTATACCACTTAGTGGAAACAAGACAAAAGTTGCTGCTTTTGCACATTAAACGACAGACTATTGACTGGCAGTCACATACAAAACATTATTTCACAAATGGAAGAATACCTGACAACTCCGTGTTGATTCTAACAAGCAAAGAAGTAACAAGAGCACAAATCTTTCTAAAATCAAAGAGGTGTTACAGAAGCTTCTGAGTTTGCATGTTTGATAATTTGCAAAGAAAACGAACTAGAGGAGAGTTGGGGACTCTTCCAGCTGAAATTTCTCTTGCCCTCTCAATGGCTGTAGGTCATCCCTGATATATTTTACAGTAAAACACATTTCTTATCGCACTTTGCTGTAAGACATTCACATACTTCCCTAAGCCCTTTCCCTCAGGGGGATCCCCTCTGCCAGTGAAGTGAAATAGAAAGTTTAAATGGAGAGATCCTTGACCCGTTACCATTTCAGGCTGCTTCATATACTTTAATGCATCACCACTTTGATGTCTCGACAGATTGTGTTTAATTTACCTTTATTTTACACATATCCGTGCTTTGGGCTCAACTGGAATTAGTGATGTTAGTGAGAGAGGGAAGAACATAAAAACAAAGTTGAAAGCAGGCTCTGAGTTGGAGAAAGTAACAGATATTTATATGCTTATTGTTTTTCAGGCCTCTGCAAAGCATAACTCATTTCTTAGATGTTTGATAAACCAGTTATTTGTATGGGATGTTTTGCTTTAGTTTTCTCCTTTAGAAAAATGTTATTGAAGTGGATGTCTGTCATCTTCTGTGTTGTACTGATGTATGTTACATAATCAGATTACTTTTTTCAAATAACCAGAAAAGTAACAATTACTTTTCAATTTCCAAGAAATTTTTGAGTAGCAATAGTTATCTGAGTTGTAGTTACTTTATCAGGGTGGAAATTTAGTTAGAGTGGGGTTTTGTTGTATCATTTTCTTTTATTCAGCTCACATCCAGTTCCCTGGTTTCATTTATTTATTTTTAATTCACCTTCATTAATCTACATTCTTAAATGTACATTCTCAATGTTATTCTTTTTGTACCAGCATAATCACTATATTATAGTTTAAAAAACTGGGATTTGGCTATCCCATTTCCTATATCCCTAATTACCTCAGAGATCGAACAACCACATTATGTGATTGCACTTACAGGAAAAATACCAGTTTTCTTTCAATTGCATGTGATGACCACCAGCTAGTATAAATAAAAGCAAGTCTTTATAGTTCTCATTAGAAGACTGATATTACCAGGTCTGAATTCCATTGGTTCCATGACCCGGATGGATATTTTGGGGTTTGTCCATACATCAGAGTTACCGAATTTCAGTCTTCACACCCTAACACACCCTTTGTACATTTGTCTCATCCCTTCAGAACCATATTCTAATTCAAGTGTAAGTGTAAGTGACCCTGCTCTGTCAAAGGCTGTGGCTGATTTCTACTTCTGTGGACACATCTGATCTCTGGTCAAGTACAACGATGGACTCATTCTCATTCATTCATGCACTACATTGACGATGATTGGAAGCTGCTCCAGTGACCTAAAAAATTAAATAAATAAATATAATAATCATTCATTAATCGTAATTAAGTTAAATGTTCAATTAATCAAGATTTTGATTTTAGGCCAAATCACCCAGCCCTAATTTTAGTGTGTGATAGTAGGTATATTATGTCACACTTTTCTAGTAAGGAAAGTTTCCTTTAAATTTTATATGATTAAGGCCAGCTACTATGAATAAGAGCAAGTCTTTATGGTTCTCATTAGAAGACTGACATTACCAGGTCTGAATTCCATTGATGCTATGACCCGGATGGAAGTAAGGTTTAGAGGGGTAAGTGTAATGGAGACCAGATAGTAAGAAAATCAAACAAAAAATCACTAAGTGTATGCCTGGCTTTACTGTGATCTCAATAAGTTGAGTTCTTTATTTTCCTCCATCCTACTTAGATTACTGGTTCATATTCTGCTCTGAGTGGCTAAATATAGTCCTAGAGAGGTAACATCAGCAATTTCCAAACATTGGTTGAAAATCAGGCTCAAAAATGTGTGGTGTACAACCAACGCAAGATTAAAAATTTTTGCCTGCCATGGAAAATGCTGCTGGGTTTATGTTGTGGAACCATGTTGTTGATGGCCTACAAAAATGTCATCACTAAACACACTATTTCTGTCAGAAAACAAATGTGGCACAACCCGACTAAGATTTTTGCTAATCATTCGCAAAGTTCTTATTATACATGATTTTGAATATATTATTTACTGTGATTATTTCGTAACTTCTTCAAAAAAAAGAAGGAATTCACTGTCAATGCGGTTATATCTACTCAAAACAAAACCAGAGAAGCCTGACACTTGTTGAACTTGTTGGTTTTGAAGCACCTGCAATGATTTCCTGCAGTCTGCGTGTCGCCTTTACTCCAAAACCTAAAAATAAAATAAAAAAATACAGGCCTTTAACCTGTTTTTTATTGCACGCTGCTATATCTTCGGTCCTCAAGCAGCACCTGCTGACAGGCCGCTCTCCCCCGTCTATCACTACATTACATATATTTGACTGACAGAGGATCTAAGCGGCTTAGAAGCAGCGGTTGTTTCAACCCCAAGTATAACAGTGGTTGGTTTTGTAAGGCGAAAGAGATTACATGCATTACATCCTCCAGCCCTCTAAATAGAGCTGCGACGTTTGGAGAGTCTTTGGTAATGTGCTGGGCTAAGCAGGCCTGTGTACACTGAACTGGCGGCAGAGTGCTCCTGCAAGGCACTGCACACACAGCCATTGGAGTGAAGGACATCTGAGGTCTCGCTGTGCTCCATGTAGGTGTCTGAAGTGGACAGATCGTGAGAGATAATCATGGGGATTGAGTAGCGCATCTTCTCTTGGCTTTTGTACCAAAGACAAGAGCACATGGACTGGAAATGGAGCACTTCTGCGTAGACGTTGCACAACCCCTTACCGGACCCTCCTCCGTGTCCCGCGGTAGATGAAGAAGGTGGGTCGGAAATGCAATGATTGGTTCCGGCGCCTCCGCTCTGCCTATTTCGGGACAGCAAAGTGCGCTGTTCTGCGTCACGGCGTTCATCTTCTGCATTCATGGTCATAAAACGCAGAACCACCAGGTTCAAGAAGGCTCCAATGACAGTGAGGCCTGTGAGGATGTACATGAAGCTAAAGGCTACATACTGGGGGTTGGTTTGTAAAGCGTTATCCTTCTGCAGGGCCACGTAGTCCCCAAAACCAATGGTGGTGAGTGTAATGAAGCAGTAATAGTATGCATGGAAGAAGCTCCAGTCCTCGTAGCGGGAGAAAGCCGCAGCCCCCACACACAGGGTGCTCATGCAGGATATCAAGCCAATGCACACCATGTTGGCCATGGAGACCTCTGTGTGACGGAGACCAAGACACTTTTTGAGACGGTGAAGCAGGTATTTGACGAAGGTGTTGATGCGTTCACCCAGACTTTGGAACATGACCAGGGTGAGCGGGATCCCCAGGAGAGCATAGAACATGCAGAACACCTTCCCGCCATCCGTGCTGGGGGCCGCATGACCATATCCTGGAAAATATAACAGACAACTTTTACTATTTTGGGGTTTGTCAATACATCAGTGTTACTCAACTCCAGCCTTCACTCCCCACTGCTCTGTACATTTTGTATTTGTCTTATTACTTCAAAAGCATATTCTATTTCAACCGGAAGTGTCTTTGGACAACACAGGATATTCTACCACTCAACCAGTTTGAAGGGAGTCTACGTGTTTCATTAAAATGACATTTAATATTTGATATTTCAATTTTAATTGTATTCACATACACTTAAGGCTGTGTCATTGTGCAAAGTTGTAAATTTAAAGTTCCTAGTTTGTAATTTTCCTGGTGATTTTTGGGTTAGCTTGATTTAACCAAGTAGTACATGTTCCTGGATTACCATCTATGCTGGAACAACATTCGAATCAGATATTAGCATCTATGCTGGAACAACATTCCAATCAGCCAATCAGATTTAAGGTATACGTTTGCAATTTATGTTAAATTTAAGGCTTAAAGCTATGGTTAATGTACTTCTACATCATTGATATCCATTTTAGGAATAATTGTGGTTATGCTTAGAGAATTTGGGTTAGAAATTACATTTTTGAACAGGAAGGATGTACCAGCGGAAAGCTAAATGTTATTCCTGGATCGTATCCTGCAAGCCAAAATCATGCCCACCCAATAATACCCAACAAACCTGTCAACTGGCAGTGCATTCCAGATGAGATATATCGCATTTCAGAGGGACAAACTGTTCTGAAAACTTGCGCTGTAAACAGCTGTCGACTGACTGACTGATTGATTGAATGACTACTTGACTGACCAATCGACTGACCCACCTTCCTCCTTCCCTAAACCCAACCAATAGTTTTTTAAAAGGCACAGATTGACCAACTCCTCTCTGCATGCACTGACGTACATGGTGAGCTAACTGGACAAACTGGTAACAGCGGGAAAGCTGACCATACAGAGACAAGCAATCAGCTGGCAAGCACAAAAAGGAATGGCATCATACCGCCCTGTAGCAGTCACTGTAAAGACGAAATGCAGCCCTGCGTACTCCAGGCTAAATATTTTGCGATATCCAGAAACATATATAGGACAACGTTTTCAGAATGAGCCTGTGTTGCATTAGAGTCAGCTGAGTAACGCACAAGTGTTGTATTATCTGTAGTTAACGTCTACGTCTACGTAGCGTCTACGTTAACGTGCATCTTAATCTAGTAATTTGTAAAGCTTTTGGGCACAAAAGTGTTTCTTTATTACAGTTAAACCACTGAAAATGACCACATGAAATGTTTTGACAATGTTGTTGGTTCCTTTACCGCACTTTATACATCAGAGGACCCTTGCTGTCTATGGAAGATGAGTGAGAGCTATGATAACTGTAACACAATTATGATAAGAAATTGTATATGCTCTGTTTTCTGGAATTGACTCCTCAACTTAATTTAAGTTAGGTTTAGTACAACCCGCTCTTCAAATGATGCAATGCCTCTTACCCTCCTAGAAAACCCAAAATGCTGACTCATGACTGCACTGCCAAGATCATCTCCAACCACATCAAGTTTGCTAATGACATAACAGTTCTAAGTCTAATCAACAAAAAAGATGAAACACACTACAGAGAGAAAGTGGCACAGCTGGGTGAATGGTGTGGCACTAACATACTGTCCCTCAATGTGAGAAAGACAAAGAAGGTTGTGATGAAACTCCGTTGACCACCCACCACTGACCATAGAAGCTTGATTGTGGTAGTAGTGAGCAGCACTAAATTTCTGGGGATGCACATCACACAGGATGTAACCTGAACCATGTCACTTTCCTAAAAGAAACAACAACGTCTACACTTTCTATGCCTGCTGAAAAGTCTCCTTCCACCCATCCTCACCACCTTTTACAGGGGAACCATTGAGAGTGTGCTGACCAGTACATTACTGTCTGGTGTGGAAACTGCAGTGCTGCTGACCTCAAGATGCTTCAACAGACAGAAAAGACAACTGAGAGGATTATCAGTGTCCCTTGCCTTACCATTCAAGACATTTTCCTTTCACAATGCTGCAGGAAAGCAATCAGTAATGTGCGAGACTCCACCCATGCCTTCCACAGTCTCTTCCAGCTCTTGCTATCAGAAGATGATTTAGGAATTTTAGAGCCTGCTTGGCTAGACTACTCAACTGTGTCTTTCCACAACTCCCTCAACTCAACCCCCATTCCTTAAAAACCTCAAAACAGTATGAAATTCTGAGTGTTGTGGGAGGGGGGTTTTGAAGATTCTAAGGGTCTATGCACCGCATTTACTATTAAGGGACCCCTAAACCCCTAATCCCATCACCCCCTCACACACACACACCACCACCCTGCTCTTCACTTTCGTTAGTGATATCAACAGCTCCACTACCCTCCCCCCTCACTTTCTTCCTCCATCATAAACATTAACCATTGTTAACACCTAACCATGCACGCCCCCTTCCCTTTATTTTTGTCTGTGACACCACCACCACTCCTTGCTATTCGCTTTCGTCCACGATACCAACCTAATTGTTACTTCCTGGTATAGGGCCTGAACTGGCCAGCATGACACTGTGAGTGGGTTGGACAAACCATCTGCAGAAAACACCCACTTTCCTCTCTCTGACACTGCACCAGTTTAGCACATTTGAACTATACACTTTCATACAATCATTCCATGTAACTAAAAACACTGTTTTTCTGAGTGTGCATCGCACAGGTCAGCATGTTTCTTCAGTTGTTTGTGTTGTGACCAAATGCAGCACTTTTCATCAGTTGTTTGTGTTGTGAGAATTTGCAACACGTCTGCAGTTAAACTGATGAAGATTGTTTCTTAAATTGCTTGTGTTATTTGTAATTGCATGTGTTTTCTTAAATTGTATCTCAGACTGGTTTTTTGAACATGACAATGAGTTTACTACACTCAAATGGCCTCCACGGTCACCAGATCTCATTCCAGTAGAGCATCTTTGGAATGCAGTAGAACAGGAGACTCACATCATGGATGTGCAGTCGACAAATCTGCAACAACTGCGTGATGCTATCATGTCAGTATTGACCAAAATCTCTGAGGAATATTTACAGCACCTTGCTGAGTCCATACCACGAAAGATTAAACAAGTTCTGCGGGCAAAAGGGGGTTCAACCCGGTACTAGTTATGTGTAATAGTAATAGTATCTAATAAAGTGGCCGCTGAGTGTAGTGGTGATAAAAGGTCCCTTTAAATTTAAAAATATCCATGCTTCCCCCGAACCCATTGAAGTCTTTAATTGAGATTCATCTTCCTTCTACTCACAGCGATCTTCTGTAATTGTATTTGCATTGCACTGTGATGGAGTCCAGTTGCTCTTATTATAGCAACAGCATGAATTATTTCTTTGAAAGCGGCTCAGTCGAGCCATCTGCACATGCAGGCGGCTGTTTGAAGCTCATTTTCAGGGCTCTGCTTCTCTCCCTCTATCCATTCAGCTCCTAAAATAACTTTTTTTTCTCAATTATTATTTCACCTTATCATCAAATGTGCTGCAGTCACTCCAAATCCATTAGTAGTTGAGCACATATTATAAAGGGATTGGGGATTAAATACTTAGAGAAGGTGTGAGAGTCTGTGTGTGTGATGTTGGGGGAAGGGACGCCGGCAAAATGAAGGATTAAAGATGTTTGCCATTGGTTAAATCACAATATAAAGCATGCGTATTTAGAAATAAAGTAAGAGACGATAATGACTAGGCCCACACAAAATCTGCGCCCACAGATTTCCGCAGAATGTTGACCCTGTCACTACATCTACACAGTAAAACATTCAGGATTCTGTACAATTTTATCATGTTGCCAAACACAAATCTATTAAGTTAGCTAACAGTTTTTCTCAGTCACTTTGGTGCATTTCTTACAACACTATTTACATTTGCACAATAGTTAATGCATTTCTTAAAACAATTAGTCATTTGTGCACATCCTAGTAGCAGTTTCTCATTCCTTCCAACACATTGCAGATGCTTTTGGACATGCATCAATCACTTTCATACAACTCTCTGCTATTCATAACATTATCATTTGCTTATGTCATGTCAGTCAAAATTAACTAAACTTGTTAATGTTGAATAGTCATTCCATAGAAAACTTATAGTCCTCATTTCATTACTTAAGTCATTACATACATAAATGTTGAACTAGTTGTCAAAATCTGTCTTGCAAATGTTATAAAAAAATTTAATCTTTATTTTGCTGAAAATTGCTGAACAATTACATGAATAATTTAAAGACCTGTGGATGTTGTAGGTTCAGTTCAAATATATGTACTACAATATTGTTTACAGTCGTACACAGCTCTACCCAAAGGAAGTTTATGTTTGTTGTAAATAAGAGTGTGTTTATTTTTTTGTTCAGTGCTGTGAATAAATTAGAATTGCAATGAGCATATGCAGTAAAAATGTGAAACATGCATATTCAGTATCTTGTTCTCAGATACCTCACTAAATGCAGTGATGCCCAACTTTACTGTAGTTTTCAAATGGCTGTGCAAATAGTAATTAGTGCTGTCTTGAGCATTTTCAGGAAGTGTCACCAAAATCTGACTTTTTAGTAATGAAAAAAATGTACAGAGTAAACTGTCACAATGAAAACACGACAAAGCACTTTGACTATCTTGTTTATAAACAATGGTGCCTGGACTCTGGACTTTTCATTTTGATGACACTGACACTTTGATTGACATGAATACTTGCTTTTAAAGGATGAACTATCTATTTTGAGCATTTGACATGCTTTTGCAGGTTATCATAAAGGTTTTGCAGTTTGTACTAATTGTTTTGAGAAATGCATTAACTGTTGTGCAGAAATGCACAAGTGTTATGAGAAACACACCAAAGCGACTGAGAAAAACTGCAATCACTTTTACAGATTTAGGTTGATTGAACATATGGAATTAAGTTTTTAATTCCTTATGTTAAAAAAAAAAAACTTAAAGGGGTGGTCCAGATTGTATTTTTAAGGCTTGATTGTGTTTA